CATTGATGTTTAGAATGTTCGTGTCTCACCAACCTCATCGTGTCTGCATCCAAAATGGGCAAAGGTTACTGACACAAGCTAGAACAAGCCCAGCTTATGTGAGCGGACATAAAACACAGATAGTTTGTGTTTTGTCTCATCTGTTACCAACCTTTCTAGTTAAAACTTGTTTATGGGGCAGCACTGCTCTCTAAATGTTTGGATCATCCATTTCTCAGACAAGTATATATAAATAATTTGCAATGAAAAGTTTTATTTTAAGGCTTTCCAAAACTAAAGGATTTAGTTTAAAATTAGTTAAATATTTCCAGTTTTTGTTGTGATGATCCACAGAAGAAGACCTCAGAGTACTTCCCACAACAATTTCAATAAGCTTTCAGTTAATATTTCCAAATATAGGCCCATCTCCACTATCAAAACATCCGGGTTTTACCAGACCTTTGCGACAAGCATGTCTCCACATCACCTGGCCAGCCCAACAGGACCACTTTCTGGGTAATTTCAGGGACCAACAGAGTACCTGATCTTGGGTATTTACTCAGAAAAAGGCAGGACTTGCAGTTAACTCATGCTGATTGGTTGCAACTCGGTGGGAAATTACATTAGCAGATGTAGCCAAAATATTAGCATTAGTTAAATTGTTGCTGGTGAACTGGAATGGACAGAAAAGAAGATGACTGCAGTTCCTAACTCAAAAAGCTGAAAAGGCAGCGGAAATCCCACCGCTGTTTTTCACAGCGTTTTATCACAGAGCACAGCAAAACCTGCGCCACTTCTATTCATTAAATGCCACTTTGTACGTCACACAGCCTTTCTCTCTGTCCTCTGATTGGTTGAAATCACAGCAAATTTAACAGAATCAAACCTTTTTAATGTTAATAATGCCCACGGATGTCTTTTGGCGCTGATCAGTGACATCACTCATTGCAGAGATGATCGCGATATACTAATGTCCAAGCAAAGTCCTGAAAGGGACAATTTTGTATGGTGACATAACGGCTAAGAAGAGTGAGCAATTGTCTGAAGTTTCCCAGCCCTCCTCTAGCAGACACACAGCGTTTCTGGTCCAACTGGGTTCTGGTGTAACTCTGAATTGATGGTCTACCTCACCATCCTGCAGCAGATAAAGATTTAGACACTGATTATCTCACTTCTGCCGCAATTGGACCCTCTAGTGGCACTAATCCCTGAACCTTTTCCCCACTTTTCTAATACACAGCTGAGCCAGAACCTTACATTAAAGAAACAATGTGTAGTTTTTACCATTCATTTCTGTAAATATTCATCAAAATGTTGTTGAAAATGATTGAAATGATGCCCATTTGTTCAAAAACATTGGCAACGTTGTAACATATAACCATAAAAATCAGGTCTAAAATACATGAGAGCAGGTGTAAGTCTCAGGGCGACGCCATCTTAGATGCCATGTTTCCTTCTACGGGAGCCCATGAGGACAAAATGCATTTACTGATTTGTAACAAACGGTTACAAAACTTTCGTCATTCTTAAATGTTGTTTTACACATTTACCTCTTCACGTGTTGCCAGTAATGAAAGGGAGTCTGCTATCTAGCTGAAGTTTGCACTCCCCAGGGTTTTTTTTACCCTAATGGGCATCCGTTGGTAAGGCCTTACTCCAACACAAAAATACTGCTTGCTTGCAACGATTTAGGGATCTACTGCCCCCTATTGCCAGGAAAAATACACACTGTCACTTTAACATCCTATTTTTATTTATTAGTATGTAAAGAAAAAAAGCACAAATGTCCTTTAAAATTATTTTTATGTGACAACATGTGGAAATAATTTTTCAGCAGAAGTAATTTAAACACTTGCTATTAGGCAACAAAAGTCAAATGCCAAACATCTCCTCTCATTAGGTTAAATTCATTTTTGAATCACACTTGCTGACATGCATGATTTTTTTTGCAGGTGTACAATCTCAACAAAGACAACCAAGCAGAAGGCAGTAAGTAGATCAGCTCTTACTTTCTGTTCTATATGAAGAATGTTGCAGTGATTGACCTAAAGAGTCTCGTATTTTATCAGACCACCTTTAGCTTTGATTTCAGAGTAGGTGTCACATCTGTTTGTGGCCCTGCACCTACTGATGACGTCAGATGACATGATTAGCTGGTTGTGGCGGGAGTTGTGTTAGCATATGATTTGCTTGGGTTGCCAGGTCTGCTCGGGCTTGTAGTTTTGTGATTTGTAGTAAACATGGCTGACATTAATAAAGAAATACATAATTACTTTTACTGATATTTGGTCCAGTAAATAATCCCAGTCTGCACACCACTGATGAATAAAGTTGCATATATACTGAAATTTATTTACTTACATGAGGAAAATAAGTTTTGGGGGTTCTTATTAAACAGAATGTTGCTTTAAATAAATTTTTGAGCAAATAGCACGTGTACAACATAATAATTAATGAAATGTACAGAAACATTTAACATTTATACAAATACATGCAAAAATGTACATGTACAAATTGTTTTGAGAGTAATTTTGTTAGAAGTCTGATAGCTAGTTAAAAACAAGAAGCAATGTGAATTTATCCGAGTGTGACAATCAGCAGATGCAGGTCTAAATGTCTGGACTCTGTGTAAGTGTCTGAAAATTACGTCTGAACCACTCTTGTGGCATCTTGAAATATGCTTATTTGGTTATGTTGTTTATGTTTATCCAGGTGTTGACTTAGTTTATAGTTTCAGCAACAAGTAAATAACCCCCAACTGATTCAGTAAGTTGTTTTGTTCTCCTAAAAGGGACCTATCATGCAAAACTTAATATTTGTTTTGCATAGACAGTAGCTCTACTCTGAGCCCCTCCTATCTGTGGGTGGGCGTGGCCAGCTCCAGCTTGGCTTCTTAAAGCAACAGAGCCCTGAAACGGCTCATTCTGGAAGGCACTGAAAATGTCGAGAAGAAAACTGCTGAACCTGCTTCATGTGAGAGGGATTTCACATAAAGAACTTAATAAAATTGTTTTGAATATTACACAAGACTATTATAACTTAATTTAAAAAGTCATAATAGATCTCCAGAATCCTGTTGGAAGATTTAATTCTGTTTTTGACTCTGAGAGTTTGCACTATGGACATTATATTGGCATCAATATCGGTATCGGCCGATGTTAGTCATTTTTTTAACATATGGGTTCGTTAAATAAAACCTGGCCAATTTTAACAACCAATATTTTTTCCATCTCGTCTCCATTTGTTTGCCTGTTTCAGAGGGTGAGGGTGGTGGTGTGTAATTGTTTAGTCATGTGAACAGTGAATGAAATCATCTCAGAACCATAAATGTGTGTGATGTGTGTACATAATAATGTAAATTTGGCTTTAATAATTTTCATTTTTTACAAAATAGCTGATTTTAGATGCATTAAAGTCAGTTTATCGGTATCGGCAAATATTGGTTATCGGCCATAACAGTGATCTCAATGTCAGACATCGATATCGGCCCAAAAAGTTCATATCTGTGCATCACTAATTAGCACCAAAGATTTAGACAAATTAGTTACGTTGGTTAGTTCTCTGTGTTCTAGCTGTTTCTGTGTTGGCTAAGTTTGATTAGCTGTGGTGGCCACATTGTATTGGGATCCCTCCGATAGTTAATCAGTTGTAAAAGGTTTCATTAAAATCCCTTCAGTGATTCATTCAACATAGTTTTGCTTAAGGACAAACACCGTGCTGACAGGTGAATAAAATATGCACACATTTTACCAACATGTGTCCACGGCTGTGAATTCAAAACACAGAGTTGTCCTGTTTTGTTTTTCCTCCTCAGTGGCCCAGCTGGATGTGACCGGATTCAACGTGATGAAAAAATTTATTTATGCTGTGGAGACTCGAGGTACAATATTAACTTATCCTTTTTTGTTTTTTCCCCCTTTTTCAGTTTTTCTGCTGAGTATCTTCTCTGTTTCCTTCCAGCAGTGCTTTTTTAAAATCTCGCCCACACAGATTCAGTTCTCTTGCTCTTTTTTGAGCTGGTTGCACGTTTCCGTCGTGGGATGCTACTTACCAAACAAACAAAATAAATATTTTTGATTAATTTATAGTTATTTGATTAAAAATAATGTGTTTTCTCCATAACTGAGAAACATGATAATTTCTGGAATAATTAAATGAATGAACTGTAGGAAATGATCACTTACTATATAGTCAAGCTTTCTGTAAAGGTCGTTGGTGTTTGTTGATTTCAAGAAAGATGGACTTGAGCGCGATTAAACCTGCCACAGACAGTGCTCTGATGTGTCATGACATCCGTTTCTGCAGATGCTTTTCCAAAATGTCACAGTAAAGGTCCAGATGTTCACAAAGTCAGAACCTTGTTTCATCTGCTGCTGTAAAAGCATCCTTTGCTGCAGACTTGGTGCTTTTCATAGAGGATGCATTGACATTAAGACTGTATGATTAACCTCCTCTGCTTTTGAGCGTCTTGAATAATTTTTCCTCTATTTTTATTTGGAAACAAAATCAGCACAAATAATATTTTATTAATGTATTATATTTAGGGTTAGTTGAATGAATGATGTACTGTAGTGTAAAGCACTTTGGAGTCCTCTGACTCTGAAAGGTGCTATACAAGTGCAGACCACTTATTATTTATCATTGTTATATTATATTATATTATATTATATTATATTATATTATAAAGATAAGTCTATATTTATCAATTAAAAGTCCTAAGAATATTTTTGATAGAATAAAATGATGATTTCCTTGTTTTTCTTTCTCCAGGTATTGACGAGCAGGGCTTGTATAGAATTGTTGGCGTGAGCTCCAAAGTACAAAAACTACTGAGCCTAGCTATGGGTAAAGCAAGCACAATATATTTAGATTATCTGTTCTAGCTCTTGCGGTTTTTAATTCTTTGTGCGTTTCTCTCCATCAGACCCTAAAACGTGTGCCGACGTGGAGCTGGATAACCCGGAGTGGGAGATTAAAACGATAACGAGCGCCATCAAGCATTATCTCAGGTTAGTGTGTGAAGGTTTCATTAATGCAGATATGCAGCAATTTTCTAAACAGATCTATTTCTTTCATGTCTACGATGATTCCAGCTCTTCTGAGATGCAGAGTTCCTGTGCTCCCACTTTAATAAATGCTTCTGTTTTATTTATTTATTTATAAAAATGTGCTTGCACTTCCTTTATTTATGGGATGTTTGTTGCATACTTTGATTAAAGGGACACTTTGCTTTTTTCCAAGTGGGGTTTTGTGAAGCACTTATGAGCAGTAAGCACAGGAGACGAAGGTCAGCACATTCTGGGGGATTTGTAACCAGCCAGGAAAGTTAAAAGCCACTCAGTAACCTGCTCAGTTGCTGCTTGACATACGCTGTCACTGATCTGCACAATCCCACTTAAAAACACAAAGGAAGGAAAATAAAACCCAGCTGTATTTATGTGACTTTTTAAAATATTATATAGACTGTATGGTGTTTTCCAGAAGCTTTTTATTTAGTTTATTTGTAGTTGCACACTTTTAGGGGGGAGGTCAGCTTTACCTTTGGGCCACTGTAAGGTGATGCACATCATCCACCACCTTTCACGTCAGAGTGTCAGACAAAGATGTTGAAAGATTTTATGGTTATAATCATTTAGTTAATATTGTTTGAGGTTTTGTAGGATATTAGATCACTTAGACGTGTCAAATTGTAGTCTGTAAAGCTAAGGTATTGCATTTTGTTACCAAACATGGCTGACTTGCAAAGAGTTGATTTAGCACATTTTTAATCAACCATCCCATTCAATCAGTTATTGCTCAGAATGTATCTAGGGGCGTGGTCTCAGTCCCCACCACACCAACGTTTGGCTTTATATCTGCAAAGCTGACTGAGTTAAAGCCATTTTTGTGTTCATTAAAGAGCAAGTCACCCCCAAATAAACTTTTTTTTGCTGATAAACTAAATAAACGAGTGTCTAATGGTGCTGCAGACACGTGTCGTCAATAATTTGGCACTTCAGTGCATCTTAGTTAAAATTTAAATATTCTGCCTAAAACTGGCAGTGTTGTGCCATTGTCAGGTAAAAACTCTGCACTGTATTTGAATTTAAATCTGCCACCGCTATTGGCTAAGAGGTATGCTATGATGTAAACTGGTACATTATGATGTCACAATGCTGTCGTGAGCCTGTGTGTGTGTATTTGTTAGCAGCTCCTCCTTCTCGGTCTGCCAGGCAACAGCATTTGTTGCATTTTTCAATACATGAAGTGGGAGTGGAGTTAGACTCTGGTAGGGGTTGACTTGCTCTTTAAAGACTGTTGACTGCGGCAGCCATCTTGAATTGGGCTTACACCAAAAGTTAATCAGTTATAGGCCGTGACCAAATTCAGGGCTGCATTTGTCGGAGTACACATTTTAAGACCGATTACACTGAAATGACATGGCTGTCGAAATTTGAAGGGTATTCAAAATGCGTTGGGTGTGGCGTGTCCTCATAGGCAAAGGACACCCCAGGATTCTTTGCGAGCCAGATGTGAGATTTTTGCTCTTGTAATAATGGTGGACAAAGCGAAAGAGTTTTACAGTTTTAAATGTAAGTATATTAAAATCTGGTGTTTTTAAAACAAAACTTAACGCAGTTGTGTGTTTTTAGGCTTATTCGTTTCCCAGCCGCTAACTTTTGTCTTTAACTCATTCACTACCAGCCGTTTCCTGATCAGAAAAGCCCTTCGCTGCCAGCATTTTTCAGAGTTTTCACAGTTTTTTAAGGAGTCACAGAACGTTGCGCTCTATGATGATGTCAACGCCAAAACTACCAAAACAAAGCGGAGTCTCACCTTCATCAGGAAGAATCCTCGTGTTTAGAGCGTTATCCGTTCTTTCATAATCCGTTGTTGAATTGTGTTTGGCAGAAGCTTTTCCGGTTTGCACCTAACTTTTTTACAGCAGTGACTCAAAACGATCTCCTAACACATGGATTTTCTCCTTCCTGATCACGTGACGTACGCGGATGAAGATCAGCTTTAGAGCTGAGATGTTTGTTCTCACGGTGCGGGGACTCGTTCTGACATAAAAAAAACCCAGCAAATGACGACTTTTGACGTCACTGGCAGAGAATGAGTTAACGATCGAGGACTCGACTTACGTTGACTAGATGGGCTGGGTACAAGGATGCTACCCTTGACTTTAGACACCGCCATAGATGAACGTGTAGTGATTACTTAATGAAAGTTTCATTTAAATCCGTTCAGTGGTTCATGAGATATTTTCCCCACAGAGGCGAAACCCTTCTTTTCTAGCTTTCTCCTTAATGATACAGATCCCATAGTATATAACTAAAAACACAAACGGTGAGCTCAAGCTTTGTGTCTG